TCAGTCTGTGCAGTGTCATATGACATCTATGTACCAAGTTTCATTGAAATGTGATGAATACTACTTGAAATATCAAAAGCTGAAAATTAATTAATTATGCAAATTAGGTAATTAATATGTACTGATATTACCCTAAAAACTGTCAGGTCTGTGCAGTGTCCTATGATATCTATGTACCAAGTTTTATTGAAATGTGATGATTACTACCGGTACTTGAGATATCAGTGGAAAAGCCAAAAATTGATTACTGGTAATCATTATGCAAATTACGTAATTAATATTGCACAGATTTTCACCCAAAACTGCGCATTAGTTCAGAGCATCTATGTGCCAAGTTTCATCAAAATCCAATGAGTGGTTCTTTAGATATCAGATTTTTACCAAAACCTAATCAAATCTGCGCATTGGCCCAGAGCATTGGCACTAAAATAGCCGCCATTCAGCCATCATGAATCAGTTAACGAAATATATGCAAGTACATATTTGTTCCAAGAATTATGTGTGAAGTTTGAAATAAGGATGAGCCCAGGCATGTTAAGATACAGATGTGAATGGACAGATGGATGATGAAGAAACAATGAAAGCAGGCTTTGTGTTAGGTCATCTCTAAGGCTGTCACTGGTTTGAATAATTATAAGGTAATCCACCAGCAAGCAGAGTAGCAATGTACACAAATTCCCTACATTTCTGACATTATCAATTCAAAAAGTAGTGCAAGTGCATCTTAGTTCTTAATTGGTGTCAACTGTCAGCTGTTTGATTGGACAGAATGACAGGATGCAATTCATTAAGTTCAGTTGAGTTATAGCAGCAAACAATTATAACTTATGAGAGTGTTTCTGCTGGTCGGTGTTCAGGAATTTAGTGGTGGGTCATGAGTAAGGTTATATATCAGCAAGTGATTACTATTTTCTGAGTGAACTTTTCAACTTCACCAAATGTCAACAATCACTGAATGAAAGTCAAGAGTACCGGTAGCAGACACTTACCAGTAGCAGATTTAGAGGTTGGTGGAGTGGCAGATTCAGCAGCTTTTTGTTGTAAAAGTGGTGGCCTGCTTGGTGATATAGCTCTGTTCACATTAGTACTAGTACTAATGCTGTTCTTATCATGGTTCTCTTTGTTATCATCAACAGCATTCTCTTTATCTTTGTGACTTTTAAGAGCTTAAAAAAAATGTCAGAACATAAATTAACAAGACATGAAATGTCACAGTCCTCGTTATTTGATTATAAAGTTGTACAAAGAAAATCTGCAAACAGGTGAATAAATATGTGTTCTTTGTGGTTACAACTCATCATAAAGTGATTTTCGATGATCTAGTTTTGTCCTGACAACTAAAAACTTCCACTGACCCATGTTCAGAATCTCAGAGTACACAAGTGCAACAAAACTATTTGTCATACATGTATACTTTCTCAAGAAACTGCATTCATAAATCTGAGTGAACCTTGATGTACATGACTTCTTTGTTAATCAGGTCTGAGTATATTACCAGGACCTGGGTTTGTTTGACCTGGGCATCAGAATCATTCTCATGTTGTCAAATACAATTTGTTATTAACACAGTAAGGTTTATTATTTAAAATGTATTCATTGTACATAGAACAACATCTGTTAATTTAAACAATTGTAAAAGCTATGTTTTCAGAGCAAGTAAAGGTTGGTCTGCTCATAACCTTCAATGGAGAAGTAACAATAATTGTTTGAAGTCTTTTTAGTGCAGTGATATTATTGCATTTCAATTCATTATTAATGGGTATAAAATACTGTAAACCATTTAATTTTGACTTCTAGATATATTCAGGATTTTATGAAATTTGTGTACAACATTTCAATAAAGTCCCTGACACTCCATGTTGTA